CCACATATTATAAAGTGGGAAATTGTGAATTTTAATCCTTTCAAAGTGAGTCTCTTTTGTCTAAATGAGAGCAGTGGAATGACTTTATGCCAGATTATGCAGGTCATTGGTAAGTTCTCTCTCACTGTCTTAGAGTTCCAAATAACCATGTTAGAAGTCTCAAGTACCTTATGGAGATACCAAGAGGAAAGAATATAAAATACATGGAAAGAGGGATGCCTCATTTGGGCCTGTCTTATAGCTGTTCTCACTGGGTACCCTGTGTGTTTGGTCTTCTTGAACCTCACCAAGACAGTAATTAACAATCACATCAATTATTCCTAGTGGCCAAAATTTGTGAGACTTGCTGCATAAGAAATATCATATGATTCCTACTGATACTCATGAACTACAAAATTGTGAGACAAATGTTAGTTGTTTTATGCCTATGTTTTGAAGCGTTACATGCAATTTCCTTGACTTTTTTGTCCTCACTCTCCTTGGCTATAAAATTGACTTAAGAATCTTGTAGATTTGTTATGACAATTAGTTCAATGGTATAAGGATAATGCTAAGATTGCCATCTACTGATTATTGACATAATACCTGACATATTGCAACAACAATTAACATTTATTGAAAAATGTGTTGTTGGGAGGCACTGTTTGTAAACTTGGTGTAGGGATGTTCTTCATGCAGAAAAATTACACTGCTAGATCTCAGTGATTGCATGACCATTTTAATTTTTCTTCACATGTAGGAGTAAATGTACATTGATTCAGATGTACATTGATTCAGTTCAATCATATTTCCCTACTCTGTGAGAGAACAACACTTTCCCATGCAGTTAATCAAAGTTACAGAAATGCTAATCAGCTACCTTCCTGAAAGAAAGCATGACTTTGAGCATACAAAAAATAAAAATAAATAAATAAACAAAAAACTTCACATTGATTAGGCTTGTTATGTAAAAATGCCTTCTAAGCATGCCATATGTTTTTATTCTAACAAATCCTTTGAAGTACACAATAAAGAATTATTATTCTGACATGTGAAGGTCCATATTAAATATATGAACTGATATGTGAACATGTTCAGACATCTCTCCATGCAGTGTGCCGCATTCCTCCTTTGCTTCAGTATAACTATTTGCACTGCACCTTTTTTAAATGATTGCCCTAAATTTTATTATTCAGATTATTTTTCTTGTGATGATACATATAAAACATTCATTTCAAATATTCATGCAACATTTGTTTAGATTTCTCAAACAGGTATGACACTGGATAAAACATTTTTGAAATAAGACTTTTTAAAAATCAGAGCAAAAATCCAAGTAAATAATTAGCAACTTTTCTTGAGGCACCAAGTTCTATGTTCTAAGAGAAAAAATAAAACCTTGCTTAAGGTACCTTAGCACTGATGCAACAAGTTCCATTTCCAGGCAATCTCTGAAATGGTGCTTAAAACTATTCCAGTTCCACACAAGGGGCCCTTCTATGATTTCACACTCTTGAACTCTTCCAGTAAAAACCTGCATTAGAATTACATGCAATACATGGAGAAATGTGATTCTTAGTAATTCATATGACTAAGCAAAGTGTACCATTTCTACTGTGAAATTTGAAGTAATAGTACCTTGCATTTTAACAAATCATTTTGATAAGAGCTACTATCATTAAATTAATAGAATTATACAGAAAATGTGAAAGAACATATCTGGAAAAAAACACTTATCTGTCTAACAAATACATCTTTAACATTTACAAAGTTTTAATATTAATTTGTGGCAAGAAATAATAAGGATATACCTGTGAGTATTTAAGAAATCATTTGATAATTAGATGATGTAAAACATTAGCACTACTACTGCTCCAATGTAAGGATTTAACATTCACAGGGCAGGGCTTCATATTTAAACTTGTTTGCTCTATTATTTATTTGAATTACTCTAAACACAGGAGTTAATTTATTTGACCTTTAATTACATATAAAATAGACTTAAAATAGTGCCTATCTCATAGGCTAATAAATATAAGGTATATTTATAAATCCTCTGTGTATTACTAAAAACAAAGTAAGCTACTAACAGATAATATCTAAGAATACTAAGTTGAAGATTTGGGATTTAACTTCAAGTTTTGCATCTTAAACAGTATAACTACACACAAATAAATTATTTTGTCTTCTCCTCCTCCTCTTCTTTTTCTCTCTGTAATTGATTTTATCATCTATAAAATGAGGAAACTAACAACCTTAGTCTATGTCCTGGGTTGTCATAAGTATGAAGGGAGTTTGAGCATATTGAATAATTCATGGAACAACAAAAGCTGTTGTAAGTATAAGCTACTGTTATTTTAAGTAAAATAGCTATATTTTGTACTGAAATCTAAATTATTATTTATTCATATTTTTCTATACAATAAAGCAACTTTGTAGACTTGAGTACAGTACTGCAGGGGTTTTGTTTTTTGGCGTTTTGTTTTTTGGATACGGGGGATTGAACTCACGTGCACTCAACCATGGAGCCACATCCCCAGCTCTATTTTTATACTTTCTTTAGATACAAGGTCTCACTGAGTTGCTTTATGCCTTGCAGTTCCTGAGGCTGACTTTGAACTCAGGATCATGCAGTCATGATGGCCATCTGATTAGCAATTTTTTAAGTATTCATAGTTATGTCCTCATTCTCCACTGGCACAAATTAAAATTAGAAACATGCACTTTTTAAGCCAATAAAAATTTTCCAGTTATATATTTATTTATACAGATACATACATATATATATATATATATACATATATATGTAAATATATATATAGTGTGTGTGTGTTGTGTGTGTGTGTTGTGTGTCTGTGTGTGTGTCTGTGTGTGTGTTGTGTGTCTGTGTGTGTGTGTCTGTGTGTGTGTCTGTGTGTATGGATGACACCTTGACTCTTTGAATGGAAATTGTCCAGGTACTACCTAAGTTAAATAAATATCCTAGTGCTATACAGTACCAATGCTAATGACATTAAGAGTACTAATTCTCTGGTACTATTCAATTTGAAATTATAGCTGTTTTATGTTTCCTCTGGCTTCTCATAGACCTAATTTCAATTTTCTAGGTACTGAATCTACATAACCATAAATGTATCTATAAAAAACTTATCTATAAATAAATTATAACATAATAATTCACAATTTAGATAATAAACATTAATATTATTGTTCATTCAGTTTTTCTTTATTAAATGAAAATAATTAATATCACTCACAGATACTGTAATGTGGGTAAAAAGCAATAAGAAACATTACATCCTTTGATATTTTTGTTAAGGACAACCAAATGACAAAGGCTATTTAATTCTGCCCAACTAGGCCATAACCTAGTGCTACGAAACTAATTCATTTGAAAACTCCCTATTCAAAATATAAGTCATTGTCTTTTATGACCTGATATTGAAACCATAGAATCCTTTGGAAGAGATTCTAATAGAAAGATTCTAACAGAAAGACTGTTGCAGTATCTATGCACCATCATAAGGATCCTCATTTCAGAGCACTAGACAACAGAAGACTTAGAGAGGTATCAAGGTCTGTTTCCTGCTGTTTGACTCTTCTTCTCCTCCCTGTAAGAAAGCAAACTCACAGATACCAAGTTATATTTAAGTGTCAGTGGACCTGGATGTCTGTAAAAAGAAAAAGACACAAAGATGTTGTCTGTTTCTGATATCCAAGAGGGTATTTCTCTGTCTGAGGCCCTCCAGAGCTGCATGTCTGGAAGCCACCCCAGTCTGGATGAAATTTCTTTAGTTTCATTTCATGGCTAAATAAAGCATGTTCTCCCAGGGCATTCCTGCATGGTGCACTGTAGCAACAAGCATGACACCTGGAATATTTGTGTAAGTACTCGGAATGTTAGGTGGTATACAGGTGTATATTAGAAAATGTATAAGACTGCTGAAATTCAATGTGAAATTGTTCATGTGTTTTCATTTGAATACATTTATGGAACTGTTATAATATTAATCAAAAGCTCATAAGATTTAGCAAATCAAATATGTTCTATTTGGAGATATATAGTGGTAAGTGCTTTATGGCACAGTACATGACAGAAGCACACAAAGTTGCCATGGAATTTTTTGAGATTTGAATCATCTGATTCAGACATAGACATTACAGAACAATTCTGCAAAAGTTAACGCTTAAAATTGCCTTTAAATGTTGAGTGGGAGTTAACTGATTGCTGAAAGATGGCAGTGTACTTTTAGTGAGAGCAAAAGTAAGTGCACAGAGACTGATTTGCTAAAGAGCCTGACTCTTCATGAAAATGGCAAGTTGTTCAATATGGCTCAAATTAAGGGTGGAGAGTCAATCATTGAAAAAAAAAAAAGGTTTTGCTTTATGTACTGAATTGTGGTAGTTCAAGTTCTTTTTAAGCACTTTTTTACAACTGTAATCTCTTTTTAACTGATAATCAGCTGATGGCTTAAGATTTTATAGAACAATAATGAAATGTAAATGGAGTGGCAGGAATTAAGAAGATACTTGCTTTGCCTTTGTGGAAAATATGAAGTTCAGGTAAAAATTTCATCAAAGTAAAATAATAGGAAAATGAAAATTAAACTGTACGTTTTGAAATGCTATGACACCAAAGTTAGACAATTAGGCCCTTGAAAAAATAATACTATTGGAAAAGAATATATTGTCAGAAACAAAAGTCAAAGAGTTTCTTACCTGTGCTATAAGTAAAATAAAAGAAGTATTAAATCTATGGCACAATGAAAAGAACTTTATAAATATATGAAATAAGATAGTGATTTAATAAAACTAAAAACTACAGCAAAAATATCCAAAATGCTTAAAACTTATAAGAAACAGAATGAATTATGTAAAAGCACAAATTGGTGATATAGAGAACAAGCTCAAGTTCCTACATGAAAATTTGAGAGGAGACATCAAAAGAATAAAGATTATCAGAAAGAAATTGAGCCTGGGTGGGTTAATGTTAGGATCAGAAATAGAACAGTACATAAAGTTAATACAAATGTTAAGATAGAATTAGGTTTGGAACTAAATCAGCAAATATTTAAAATTGCTTAGCTTGGAGTAGTGGCACACACCTATAATCCTAGCTAGTTTGAAGGCTGAGGCCAGAGGATCACAAGCTAGAAGTCAGCATAGGCCACTTGGTGAACACTTATCTCAAAACATACTAAAAAAAAATCATATATATATATATATACTTTTATATATATATAAAAACATACTAAAAACATACTAAAACATACTAAAAAAATCATATATATATATATATATACTTTTATATATATATAAAAGTTCTGGTGTAACAATAGCGTAGTATAGCTTACTGAAATGCTTTACTTCTAAGGAAAATGGGGTGGAGGTGGGGTGAAATACATTGAACCAACATTCAATTGAAAGAAAAATTGTTGTAGCAAAGAAAAGCACAACAAGAACTAAGATATGTGCTAGGATTTTTCATAGGATCAGTTTAATTACCATGTAATATATATTTGATTTTATGGAATTTTTTAAAAACTTCCCAATTTGTTTTCTGATATTACTTTGAACTTGTCATCAAAGTGATTAATTGAAAATATTTTGGACCCAACCTGACTGCATTGTTGGCTGTGTAACTCTGTGCAAGTCATTTTGCTGTTGTTGTTCAGCACTGCTATTAACATAAGCTGCCATTAAAAATACTATAAACTGAGTGGCCTAATGAACAAAGATTTGCTTTCTCATAGTTTTATAAATTGGGTATCTGAGATCAGGTATCAGTATTCACAGGTTTTGGTGAGAACAAAGGTAAAATCCTTCTTGCAATCTCCTTGGGTGGCAGAGACTCTGATCCTAATACCATTGTGAGGACCCAAATTCATCATTTTATCTAAACCTAATTATCTTGCAAAGATCCCGTCTCCAGATTATACCACATTAGGCTTTAGGGCTTCTACATATAAATTTTTGGAGTGTGCAATTCAGCCCATACTAACTACCTTTCTCATCTACAATATAGAATTTCTAATAGGCTACCTCCTTTACAGGCTGCCGTAAAGATCAAATGAGACCATACATACAAAAGAGCTGGAAAGGTTTGTAGCAGACAGGGATATGTGAGTGTGGACTTAAATGAAATATACAATAAAATAAATCAGCAACTCCACTCTAGTAGTTATTAAAAAAAAAGATGATCCAAGAAATCATTTTTGGAATTAAGGGGCTTTTTAAATTATTATTTATCTAACAGCATATTTCATTTTATTTCTATATTCATATAAAACAGCCATGTTATCACATAAATAGAAAATAAAACTTAACTGTAGGTAAAATTAAAACTTAACTGTAGGTAAAATTAAAAAATCTGAAGAGAGAATACCAAAGAAAAAAAATGTGAAAATCATGCATCAGTCTTAAAGCATGCCAGCATCCTCTTAGCCAGTAGGGACCATTTAAGTATGCTGCCACATCTAGTATATTCAATACCCACTGCTACTGATCACACCTGGGATAGGAATGGCAGTAGAGATAGATACCCGATCTTTCAACAAGGCAGCTCAATAGAAGAGGATTTTTCTCCTTATTGTCAATAATATCCAGAGATTACCTCCCATTTGGGAATCTCAAGCTTGATGAAGTGTTTTCTACCGGTGAAAACAGAAATCGAAATCCAGAGAAAAGAAATTGTACTTTTGTCACAATGTTGTAACACTTAATACATTTAATATTTTAACTGTTAAAAAAGCACTCAGGAGCTTGACAATATTTTGGTTCAAAGATTCAATGGGATATGTAGCAAATAGTGTATATATAGCACATTTGCCTCTGGAAAGAATTGTCAGTTTTACATGAATATGAAAATCCTGTGGAATAGAGCATTCACTTCATTCTGTGATTGAAGTACAACCATTATAACCAAGGAAATGACTGACTTAAAGAATGGGATTCTTTTTGTCATTCTACTTTTCTATTTCCTGGCTTTTAAAATTGTAAGACAAAACCATTTTAATGAAAAATGTCTCAACTATTCGAATAGTAAATATTAAATTACTCATTATTTAATCTCATTAGAAAGGATTTGAATGAAAGTGAGTATTGAAATGCTACTTTATTACCTTTATATCTACTGCTAAAATAGTTAATGGATATTTAATATACACACTTAAACAACAAGCATCTAGGGGTAAGGTACAAAGGACAAGATGTTCTTTTCATGGTATCTGGTTGGAGCAGGCATTTCATAATATAGAATAATCACATTGACGCCAACAGAACACAGTTTTATTATACATTAGGTAACCTTATTTTTAAATCACAGTAAAAATGTGAGAATAAAATGAAAAATAGCATTATGAGAATAAAAAGGATCACATATTTTCTGAAGTGAACAATGTGTCTCCAAAAATGTGCTCTGCATATTACTTAATATTTTGAACAAAGCAAGAAAAAATGAAATTCTATTTGGAAATGCTTACATTTTTACTTTTTAAAATATTTTCTTTAATGACATGTTTAAAATAATGTGGGATTTGATTTTATACTTCTTAACTAATATAACATTGTATATTATTGCACAGCATATTATACAGTTGTTTATTGGCATACAATGCTTAATCAAATTAACAAAGCAACACAAAAATTTTGCCAAATCATTGTTACTATTAAACTTCTAAGTCATGGAAAACAAAATTAAGACAGTAACTCATTGCTATACACAAAAGTAACTGATGTGAATGCTGATTATGTAATATATCTAACACCAGATATCTTTCCAACACATTAGAGAAGGTCTTCATTACATGAACATTTTGTTCATTTCAGCCCTCTGTTTAGAATTGTCTTTATTCTCTGTTGGAATTAAATTGTGTGTATATATATATATACACACACACACACACACACACACACACACACACACACACACATACATATTTGGTTTTACAGCTATCACGAAAACCTCAAGGTAACCTAATGTTTGTGATTGGAAAACCAGAGAAGTGGACTAGAGGGCATAGGTCCAACCTACATTCTTGTTTGTTTAGGTTTCTGTCTTTTGTATTCTAAGTTGGAATGACATGACCATTTTTTCAGCATCAAAAGAATAAGAAAGAGTGCAGTTTTCTCTGGGTTCCCTCTTTTTATGTGGTTAGGCAGTTGAACTATGATATTAAGGTTCTAAATCTGCTAGCATTGTGAGTAAAGTGGAAAAGGGTATTTCAAAGGAACAAGTATTTGGGAATGGATGATAAATAAGAAAATTAGCTTTTGTGAAAGCAGTCTGGGCCAAAGAACATCCAGAAGATGACTCACTCATAAGCCACCCACTTTGCATGATCAAAACATACTGGGGCTTAAACAAAACAAAACAAGCTACAAAATTTTTTGAAATTGTCTAATTCATAGATGACGACCAATCCCTTCGCTAATTAGATGAAACTTCTCTAAAGAATTATGTTGCATGCCTTGTTGATTTACACATTTTTGTTTTGTTTTGTTTTTATACTGGGTTAAGGATCTTTGTTCTCATGCATTTGTATTAATTAAAATACTTTGTCTATTAAAACTTAAAA